AAAAATATAATAAAAATTAAAAAGTTAAATTAAAAATTAAAAGTTTACTTCTCCAAGCGCCCTCGCTTGACTTGAATCGTGCTAGCGAAGCAGTCAATGGCACTGTGAACATTCAACTTTTTTTTTCTTGCAACTCTGCGCTCGTTGAACGCAAAAGTTGAACGCAAAATCGCCTCGTGCAAACACCTTTTAACGCTGAAGATTATTATCGAAAGGCAATATTTATACCGCTATTGTAAAATATTTTGCTCGATCTCCGAGAAAGATTGCCGAAAGAGACATTAAACATTTTTGATTTGAACTTATTACACTTCCTTCAAAAATTGGGGAATATAATACGCCTAAAATCGCTTGGAAAACGATACTAACTTTTCTTAGAAAAAAGACGTTATCAATTTGGAAGTAGAATATAAAGTGTGGTTGGAATGATGGACAAATAAGGAAAGCGAAAAGCCATTCCCAAAATCAGCAGCAGAAGTTCTTGGCATTCTGTTCACACTTCCAGCTAGTAACGCTACATCCGAAAGAAGTTTTTCAACCCTTCTTAAACTTAGATATTGAAATTGACACTGAAAGGATAATAGAAAGATTCGCAAAAGGGAAGCGCAAACTTGAACTTGCAATTTAAATTATTACAATAAAAATTCTGAATAAGTTGTTAAATTACTTAATTACATCCTTCATTTTACCAACATTGTAAGCAAGAAATAAGTATTTATATGTATTATTGCATTAATAAACCTAAGGTATAAATTTACATCTTTTTTTTTTTATAGTACAGCAATTGTTTTGTGCGCCATATTTAACAAAATGAAAAAATAAAAAATACTCGAACCTATATTTGCATGAAAAATAAATTAGGGTTAGATGCCTGTAATTTAACGTTATTTAACAAGTTGATCTCAATATTGTCAGAGTGCAGAATCCTTGAAGGAATGTACATACTTATGTGTCTGGAAAATAATTCGAGTCTAATTCTTAAACAAACTCAATAGCTATTGCCATTTTCGAACGAATTATAAAATTAAATTTTCCGATTACTTGTCTTTATAAACACTTAAGCATTTTCGATTTTTACTAAATTAAGTATGCGCACCTAAATCGGTATTCCCTTAGTTTATGACACCGAAAGCGAAAAAAACAAAACAGTAACAACTTCTTAACCTTGGGATTTTTCTGTACATAATTGCAAAAAATCATTCACCAACACAGTTACCAAGCACTTTATTTGTTCATTGCGTTATAACAGCATCCTGTGCGGGTGCGTGCGCCTGCCTGCGCATACAAACACTAAAAGCCTGCTTCAAGTCTCGCATGTGCCTCATCATTGTAATGGCGTAATTCTGTAATGGACACTTAAATAGTAATTTCGTTTCCTTCTCTGCCACCGCAATGATGCAACAGCGCATATGCTTGGCAAGCATGCTTTTGATGTTGCCGCCATTGTAAATATGTATATTTGTTTACACTAGCAGCTACCGCAGAATTTTTAGAGTCAACACACATTCACTTGGCGGCTGGCTGTTGCATGCCACGGCATTCCACAAATGTTTACTGGCTGTAAATGTTGCCACATATATATTTTCGCACGCTTTTTGCCATATTTCTCTTTTCCTCACCAATATGGCCCGCCTGAAAGCTAGAATGAGCTGTGAAAAGTTAGCTACACCCCCGCCTTCTGTCTGCCATCGCAGCAATTGCGAATAACAACAATTCGACAAGGACGTGCGCGGAATTGCGAAACCCTGTTACAGGAGCACCTTGGCTGGTTGCTTTCATTTATGCCCCGTAATATGCAATTTTCTTAGCTTGTTTTTCGTTTACCAGGCTTTTAAATATGCGAATGCGGTGTGCGATTTTTTTTCTTCTTGTTTGCTGTTTTGAAAGAGTGCCAGGCTTTTACTTTCCATTGACATCAATTCTTGATGTGTTGATTTTGCATAAAAATTATCAATTGCCAAGAAAGAAGGGAGAATTAGTATCGGCTCATCCCATACGGGTACAATTGGATATCGATATGTTCCTTTGCGATTGCTCCCGCAGTCATCCCGAATTAGTCGCATTTTTTGCAGAGAATTTACTTAGATACATATAGGTACTCATACATACAATATTTTGTATGGTTTTCATATGGTTGCTGCCTAGAAGCATTTTTAGCCATAATACTATTGGAAATCCAGAACAACAAGAATTATCAAAGTGAGCTTGCTTTTAGAAGTGAAGCTATCCTAGCACTAGCTTGTGCACGCGCTGCCGCCCTTTCCTTAGATTTTTCTCATTTGACACCCATCTAAAAATATTTCAGTTAACTTAATTAAAAACATAGATTTGAATTTCTAAACTGGTGGCAATCATTTCCAAAAATATTTTTAATATAAAGCTAACTTAAAAATTTTTTAGATCAAAAACCATATTAAAATAATTAATTTAACTTCATCAATTTGATTTTGATTTTCAAACCAGGTGGCAACCTTCGTCAAAACTATTTCCGATTGATTTTGAATTTGAATTGAATTTCTAAACAGTTGTATTCAGATAACGGTTTGCATTTTGTATTTTCAATTTGTTACAAATAAAACAACATCTTGGGTATCAAATGGAAAGTATTTAAAACAAAAACCCAATTCAGAAATATTTTTGAATACGGTTGCCACCTATTTTTTACATAAAACTGTTTACTGTGGATATCAAATGAATTGTTTTTTTGATCATTTAAATCCAGAAATATTTTCATTGAGAGTTGCCACGTTTATTTGTAATGCAAACTTTTATCTTAGTAATTTCGTCGAGTATATATGTATGTACATATACATATGTATGTATACACACATATACACAAGAATATCGAGGGCTTATATTCAATACCCTCTATCTGCATTTTTCACAAAAATGAGATTCTGATATAAAAATCCACCCAAGACCTGTCAATCGGTAATGTTAATGCTGAGCTTGTATAACGATTGACAGAAGCACTTACTTTTAAATTGCAAAGTCAGAATTGCCTTCAGCGATGACAGATAAGTCCGAGTTGGGTTTTAACATCACAAAGTTGTTTTTGTGAAGAGTTTCGAGGTTGTAATTTTTTCCAATTGTCAAAAAAAACGTTATTTGTCACACTCAAAATACCGTACAAGTTATTTGTATCATCCTAATATCTAAAGAAAATTTAAGAAACGCGACAAAATGTCAAAAAAAAAAAAAACTTTCTCTCGAAGCAAGCAACAAGTAGTAACTACATACAATGTGTTTTGGGAATGTTTTTAGATCTTACGTACATATATCGGCACTTTTGCACGTTTCAGTGGCCGTATGTATACTCAATATAAATGTTATTTGTCGTCGCAGATTCCGGTCATTTCCAATTGCCCTCTCTGAGAAGTAGAGCGCATTAAGTGCCCTTGAGTATTTCATTGCAGCAGAGTGGTTTGTTTTTTGACAATTTACGATCTTGCGCCATTGAGTTATGGAGTGCGCAATTTTTTTCATCTTCTATCGCTTCGTGAACCGAACCAGTTCAGTTTCGAAACAAAGAATAGTTAAATTTCCATCAGTTTCATTGATTGAGGGTTTGCTAGGTTCTCCCTTTCCTTGAAAAGCTGCCTTCAAAGTTATGCAAATATGTATTCAATTTTACTCCTACCTTAAATCTTTTACAATTTTTATATTTGTGAAAAGTTGAAGGTCTTTTTGTGGTTAAAATTTTTCCACTAGGATTTACAAAAATTTCCATATATACCTGTAGACATACATACATGCTAAGCATATCCTTGCAGATCACTTTTAACCCCATAAAAATAAGCACTTTCACTTTCAACATAAATCACCGGAAATTGGCAAAAAACCAAGTGACAGCTGTGACGTTTAAGTTGGCATTATGCATGTCTGCCCATCAATCCAACAACTGAATATTTCATAGGTTTCAAAGCACAACAAATATTACCAATAATAATAACAGTAACCAAAATACGGCAAACAACCAGCAATGACGCAATAACAATAACAAATAATTGAAGAAAATAAGGAAATTAGTGGTGGGGTCACCTGGGGAAAAATATCCTGCCATTCAGTTGTAAAGTGTGCAATGGGGAAGGGGTGGTGAAAAAAGGTAGTTGCTTGTTGCTATGGCCGCTAGGAGATATACAAATGTGTGTACATATTTAGTATTTTAAGTGGATTTGTGTTCAAAAACACAAAATGCCGCTTAGTTACAGCGCAGTTTCCATTTTCGGCGTAACTCTGCTGAGCTTCCCCGAATTGCGCGCAACCCTTTTTTATTACTATTTTTGTTTTTGTTTATGTTTCTTTTCCCTGTTGTTGCTACTATTTCACATTTTCGTTTGTTTTCCTCACTGCCCGTCTGTCCCAAATAGACAGCCATGGTGACATGGGGTTAATGTTTTATCGGGCATTAAAACGCTTCAGCGTCAGCCAGCAGTCACTAGCCAGCCAGCACGGCTGTTTTTTAGCCATGCGGATATACTCCATGGAACTTTGCTGGCCATTGCTGGAGCTACTACATACTACGAGAATAATAATATCCTTTCTCGCCATTATGTAATTCCTGCCCCGACGGCAACTAAATATAGTCGCTTTGCATTCGAAATGCCAGCAACGTGACTGACTTACTGACTGACAGCAAACGACAAAAATTAATTATTTAAATGCCAGCAACAGCGGCGGGCACAAAATTAGTATGAAAAAATAAATAAAATAAAAACAGCAACAACAAAAAGCCTGTGAACATAGCACCGGGGAATAAAAGTAAAGGCAATGATGGTGCTCCTATGAAGTGTCAGCTATCGAGTACTTACATATGTAGTGCGAGTAGCATATTTTGTCCATGGGAAGAAGTTGATTTTAGAATTTTTGGTCGCTGCTGCGCTTGAAAAAGTTTCAAATTTTCGCCGATTTAAAAATAGCAATAATTTTTGTACTCCTTTATGCTTTTACTCTGCTCTGATATCTATTTCATTTTTGCTTTCCTTTCTCTGTACTTTCAGATGACTATTTTCATTGAGAATACCTCGGTGGCAAAGCGGCTGAATGCTAGTCAAGCCTTTGATGACACGTGGAACACCGCCTCCGATTTGGAGAATGAATTAGAAGTGAGTGGAAAATGCATTTACATACATATTTACTTACTTTGCATTGATATTTTAAAAATGTATACACAAAAGTAGTTTGTTAGCGGCTCAGTGGTGTGTGTAGCTGTTTGAATGGGCTACAAGACTTTTTGTTGAATGAATTCCCTAATGAATATTTTTATTAAAATTTCAATTGGATTTTCAATGCGTCGAGTTATAATTTCATAAAAAATTTTAAGTCATTTCAATAACAAAGCTTTATTTAGTGCTTTGAACTGCCTCTTAATAGGATTGATAGTTATTTGGTATAGGTATTTGTCATTCATACCTATTACGGTATCCAACGGATGACATTCCAGAATGTAATCCTTCGAACTCGCCTGTTTTGATGGTGTGTTCGAAAGACTTTTGTTATTCTAGCACAAAAGTCTTAGAAAACACCTCTCTCATTCACCACTAGTGGAGAAAAGCTATTTTGCAAGAAAGCACCAAATTTGACAAGGGATGACGGAAAATCGTTCCACAATACATCGCACTTGTATATTATTTAGCTCGTGTCGCTCTGGCAGTCGCAATGATCGAGTGGGCAAAGGCGTGTCATTCGAAAGATCCGAGTTCGAGTCACAGACAGCGGATTTAGAAAAAGTGAAGATTTGCATTAAACAATTTTAAATTTTCTCCATGAGAAGAGAATTATATAAAGAAATTTTGAAAAATTTCAGATACAATTACAATATAAAGTACAAATGGCCCGTTTTAATAAACCTTCCCGGTTTTCCTGCCTTCAGTAGATCAATAAATCACCAACCTACCCTTTACTGCAACAACAGCGCACAAGCTCTTCAAAAACCACGGCAAAATCACCCTAATTGCCTGTTCAATTGCAACCTTTGCGGACATTTGTACAATATATTGTACAAGACACTTACAACCTTTCAGTGTAAATGTAAAATATATTGTACATTTTTTTGAGCACTCGGGAAAAATATTTTAAATAATGATAGTTTAATTTTAGCATTTTTAAATGGTGAAATGCTTTTTATATTTCCATACCGTGTGTTTTTATTAGCGATTTTACTTGTTTTTCACGTATTTTTTGTACAGTAAATTACCGCAACTTGCGTGTCACTGGAATTTTATAAAATGATCTATTCTTAAATTAAATTCTAAATATATTTTTGAAACGTTTTCGATTTTGAAATTGACGTAAACTATTCGGGACATTCCAAACCATCATAAAGTCTAATTTGTTTTCAAAAATAGTAATAAGATTTTTAGTAGCACACTTCCAATGTTACAAAAAATTAAATGTACAATATATTGTACAAATGCAGGGAAAGGGTTAATGTTCCGAATGATAGTAAAGAGCTTTCAAGCTGGCTGCCTGAATTGACAATTGTCTTACGAAAGTCTGTGGCGAGTTAAAAGACAGTTGCCGAAATTTGCCTGTTAGCTTCAGCCTGGCTATCACTAAAATCTAAAAATATAGACAGCTTAACCGTTAGTATGCGCTCCAAGTCTGTATACACCTTCATGATAGCGTCTTCGGCCTGGAGGACTGCGAAGATGACAACGCTAGCAGGCGGTGTGCAGTAACTTTCTTCACTCTTATGCTTAGAATTTTCTTGAAAAATTTTCTAAACCGATTTTTGCTGCCCGGAAGAAAGCGAACTTAGCGGGCCTTCCAAGCACTGGCTGAAAGGGGAACACCACCCATCACAGCATCATCTTTAGGATATTCCTTGATGCAGAAGAACTCACCGATGTCGATGAGTTTGATCTCTGACTATCTGAAATCGCAGGCTCAAACGACCGAAAAAGGATTTTAAAAGTGGACAATTTAAAAAAAAAGTTATTTGATGATTTTTAGGTGCCCCATAGAGGAGCAGGCTTTAAGTACACATCGAAGTACTAAATTTTAGTAAGTTTTTTTAAATAATTTTTCATTAAAGACCACAAAAAAAGCCTCGCACAGATACGCCACTGCAGCTGCCTCAATCAATGTACATACATATGTACGTAGTACCACACCCGAGCCGTGTAACATTTATGTATCATTTAGTATAGGAAGCCTATTTTCGGGCGCTTCCGCATTTATTTTCGTTTTCTTTGTTTTTTCCCCCACTTCCTTTTTTGTTTTTGTTGTTGTCTTTCTTTCTTATTAATTTAGTGCATGTTGCAGCAAAAGCGTGGCAAAAGCAGTAGCAGCAGCAGCAGCATCGGTGGCATCTCATCGGCGACGTTGTCGTCCGGCAGCAAAGATGGCCAATGGTCTGGTTGGTCGGAATGGTCGACCTGTTCACGTACCTGCGATGGCGGCATAATGCAACAAATACGCCGCTGCTTCAACACAAATGGTTGCAAAGGCGAAAGTGTACGCTATCGAATTTGCAACATGCAGCCATGTCCGGAGCAACAAGACTTTCGTGCGCATCAGTGCGCCGCCTACAATGATGTGCCCTACGATGGTACGCTCTACACGTGGACGCCACACTACGACTATGTGGAACCATGCGCATTAACATGCAGGTGAGTGGAAGACAAATACAAACACCAACAACTACACAAACACAAACACAAACAAACAAGAGCGGCAAACGTTTACCATGACCATCCGCAAGGATGCCAACCTACATTCATGTCCTTTGCAGTAGTGATGTCATGTGTGAGCGCATGTTTTTTTTTTTTTTGCCTTATTTTCATTGAAATCGAATGTCAGTTACTTTTAATTTATGATCACGAGCGTAGTAAAACCTTCGTGCAAATGTGCATTCTCCGCTTGGTTTGGAGTAAAATAGTGCACACACAAAAGCGACCCAATTTATGGCATTCGCACGATCCATAGATCATAGAATGAGAAGTTGTTGGGAAATTGCGGCGGGAAGGAAGCGCCGTTTTGGGTTGCCATGACATTTTCGCTAAACGTGAAACTTTGAATGGTTGAATGACCTTTTGAACCGCATTCAGGTTTTTCTTTATGATTTAATGTCGAATCGATGGAATTATTGTTGGAAAAAAAGCAATTGCGTACTTAGTTCAAAATCTTATTTATTTCTATGTAGAAACTAGAATTGTGAGCTCTATCCGGCTTTTTTGAGTATCCGAATAGCAAAATAAATGGATATTAACCGGCTATACGAATAATAAAATATAATGGATATTAGCCGGACATCCCGTGTTTATTCGTATACACAAATATCCGAACAGATATCCAAGCGGATATCCCGCTGCCTTTCGCTTTTTTTTTATGTATAGTATTCCCGCTGACAAAGAAGGCAATTTGCTCATACTTTGTCAAAGGTAAGCAGATCAAAGCCCTAATAACAGATTGGCTTTCTGAATGAATTTGTATCTAGTGTGTTTTTCATAGTTTCAGTATCTTATCTAGGGCTAAAAAGGAAAGAAAGTTCCTCACAGAAGCCACCTATTTATACCAGCCCTGCCGTCAAGCTTCGACCAGTCGGTAAAATTGTTTGGCCTCAGTGTGCAGTGAATGTGGCATCCAATGCGATCTAATCAAGTTTTCTCACAATCTTGTCACATAACTTCGAATTATGATCGACATTCGCTAAAATTTTCCAAAAAATACTAATTAATGTCACTCAACTACGTATAAAACCACTTCCTCAAATATTACAAGCTCATCCACAATTCACAACAAATTTCTCTTTTACTGCTAATTTTTTACTCTTTCCTTTTTCAGAGGCCGCCCAGCGCACTTACATTTAGGCGACAGCGCCTCATCCGAGACCGAAGGCGTTGAAGATCCCGAACACTATGACGATCATGTGATCGTACAGCTTTCGGCGCGCGTTCAAGATGGCACACGCTGTCGAACGGGTAGTCTCGATATGTGCATACAGGGCAAATGTCAGGTGAGTGAAAAGCGAATGAAAATCTGCACACACAAAAAAAAATACAAAATGATTGCCACGCTTTATGTCATGAAAAGTGAAGAATCATAATAGCGTGTGAAAGGAGTGAAGTTATAAATTAAAAAAGTACTTCGAAACGCGAGTGAAACAAAAGCTGGCGGTATAATGTTACAAACGCTCGGTGAGCGTAGTGAAGGTAGTGGGTAAGTTATTGACAACGAAGGCAACGGTAATGACACCGACAATGACGTGATTGTGTGAAATTTATTATGCTGCTCCTATTTGTTTTTGCGGTTGGGAGTTTTTTCGTTGTTTATTTTTGACTGCAGTGCCGCTTTTTCGTTTATCTATAACAAAGTAACTGAATTTCGGTGAAGTGATGGGTTTCCACTAGAACATGTTTAGGCACAGTTGTAAATGTGGTAACTTAATATAAGACAACTAAGTTTTAACTAAAGTTAGAAGCTTAGGCATGATTTTGTTGCTAGTGATTATGTATATGATTTTTTGTTTTGACTGCTATATATTTGTTTTTTTTTTTGTTCTTTATATATAATTTTTGCCATAATATTCCCAGCTCTACAAATGGTGCACTGTCTGACGAAAAAAGATGCAGTCTAGCAATGCTTTTAACCTCACTTATGTATCTACATTAGGATGCATCATCTAAAAAAGTTGCAGTTTTTCTATCGAAATTATAAAATGTATTATATTTTAAGACTTTCGCAAAAATCTTCCGCAAAATGTTAAGATTTATGTGAGTTTGACCGATTGGAAAACACATCCAAAAATTGTATTATTTTGTTTCCGTTTATAAAATTTTTAAACATTTTTATTCAGACCGTTTAAATATCAACTCTTCTACGAGTATCATGACTTTTTAGAAATAAAAAAAAAACATTTTTAAAAATATCATAATTTTTGGGATGTATTTTCAAATAGGTCGGGCTCAAGTAAATCTTTATACTTTACCGAAAAATTTTAACCGAAGTCTAGAAATATAATAAATTTCCGATAAACAAAAAAACAATACCGTGTTTTGTGTATGGAGTGATACATCCTACCCACCAAACAATTTGTGTTGCCGGCAATAAGAAAACGTGTCGCCCTCGGAAACAAATTTATTGCCGGTAATATTGCCATCGAATCGATTTCCTATTACCGGTCGCTCTAAAACGTCCGCCGAAGGCAACTCGCCTGGGCGAGTCGTTTTCTTATTGCCTGAATGAGTCTTTTTCTTATCGCTTCAGGCGATATTTGGAATAATTTTATTCTTTTTAATACTTCATTTATTTTTCTGTATACCAAATTGCAACTTACAATCGGAATTAATTCATTTTCTCGCTGTGAGGCTTCCTATTTTATCAATCTTGTCCTTGGGCATAATTTAGATGCTTTTGGCCAATACTATTGACGCCATATTCATAAGTTTTGGAATTTTTGAGAACTTTTTTATTCAAAATTGACACGAATGAAGTGATGTTGCCGATTTGTCACCACAGCAATAAATCGGTGAGTCGCCAATTTGTTGCCATTGACGATTGTTGCCTATTTCTCATGTTTTGCATGGTGGGTAAGTACATATAAACGCTTTGCATGTGTGTAAGCGTTTGAGTATCCTTCAATTGCCAATAAAGTACTCTATGCAGACATTCATCGCTCTTCATGTTCACTGTCACATATCGTTTGGCACATTCGGTGCTTAAAGCTAGTCTCAACAAGGCAAATGTAACCTCAATAAAAAGAATAAATAGTGAGTAGATATGTAAGCAGGCGTCCCTAAAGAAAGTCTCCGTTTAATGCTGGAGTTACACTAGACATTGAAATGACAAAATAAATTTTCATATAAAAAATTATATAAGCACACATTTAATAGCTACTATTATTAATGTATATTATTTAATGTTATGTTAGTATATGTTATGTATGTATGTTTAATGCTCTACACATGTTATGCTTTGTTATGTAGCGTTCTGGGTTGCTGTGCTATGTGTTGTTGTGCTAAATTATGTTATCTTTTTTTATGTTATACTTATGCTAATTTGTGTATTTTTTTACAAGGTGTAAAGCGATCAAAAGCCTTGGTCAGTGGGGACTTTAACCCACCAAAATGACGCCGATTTTCAACGCTTAGCCGTCCCGGACGAACGAAGCTCAGGCGTCACCTTAGTTATGTTATTTTATGCTTTATTTTTTTTACGTTACGTTATGTTACATTATGATGTTAAGTTATGTTATGTCAGGTTATGTTATGTTATGCCGTGCAGAGTTTTAAGTAATGATTTTTTTTTTTTTGAATTTCACTGCGTTTATTTTTGTTTAAGAAAATTTTGCTCTAGGTTATTGTTTTATTTTCTTTTAATTTATTTTATTTCATTTCATTTCATTCTATTTATCTCATTGCGTTTTATTTGTGTTGCCATAGCGTCCTTCCATTACCACATATTTCACTCCCTCAACCAAATATGTATCTCATACCCACAAATTATCACCCTTAATTTGCTGTAATAAACGCCAATATGTTATACGGTTCGTTGAATGGCAAGCGACTCAAAGGATCTCAATTCAAGTGGCTGCAGTAAAGTTCCACTGCCAGAGATGTTTTCCGCCCTCACTTCACATATGTATGTACGTATGCAGCCCCTGTTATTTACTCAAACAAATAAATTTAAAATATCGACATTTGCACCCAAACAAGAAATAACAACAAAAATAAATCAAATAAAAAGATATCAATGTCGTATATGTAGTATTTTCCCTTTCCTCAGTGTTTATGTTTCCGACTAACACGTAAGTGAATAAGTAATGTTTGGAGTTTACATACAGGTTTGCATTTAAACTCCCCACAGATTTAAACTCGCATCTCATTTGAATGGGAAGATGAATGGAGGCTGCGAATTCGGTGCAAAATTTTCCATGTTAAATTTCTGTGGCTTATTTTTATTGTACTCGTTTGTTATGGTGCGAGTAGATTTTATCTTTTGCTTTGAAACTCTGCTCCTAAATTATTCACGCAGATTTGTTGCTTTTCTCATTTTTCACTTTCTCATTTTATTTAATTTGGGGTTCCCCTGGTTCTTGGCAAGTGTTATTGAAACATTTCGTATGCTTAATTTTCATGGGCCCTATTAAATTTTATGCCACATTTTTAATCGTACTTGAAATAGGAGTACATATATTTTTTGTATTTTTAAATATACATACATATGTAAATACATGTAATGTAGTGAATGTCAAAAGCTAAATTGAGTAGAAATAGCGAGTAAATAAAATTGCGGGAAAATATTTAAAAAACTAAAAGTTAAGTTTATTTATGTAAGCTAGTTGTGGTGTAGGAGTTTTGTATTAAAAACAACATCACTCTCCATTTGTCTTGAAGAAATGAGAGCTGAGTTTCTTAGAAACATACTCCGGGGAATAGATTTTTTATTTAGAACATTCCCGCTGCCTCTCCCAGAACTGAAGAATTTTTGTCTACCTTTTCTGTCTGTATGTTTGTACGCGCATAACTCGAAAACGAATGCAGGTAATTAAATGCAGTTTTAACCGAGGTATTAGTAGAGGTATAACTTTAAATATAGAATGAAAAATATTAGAGAGTTGCCACCTATTTGAAAATTTATGTTTAAGTAAATTGGTATGATAAAGTAAATATTACAATGCGGATGTCAAAAGAAAGAGACAGGCGAAAATTCATTTGTGGAAGGTTGCCACCTGTTTGAAACTATAATATAATTTAATTGATAAGATAAATTAAATATTGCAATATAGGTATCAAATTGCAGAAGTTTAGGAGAGTTTGCTGCCGAAAATATTTTGAGGAGCGTTGCGACCTGTTTGAAAAATTGTATTCAAATAAATTGATAAAATAAATTAAATATTACAATACGGGTCACAAAGTATACAAAAATACTTGAAGCACACCGGGTTGCTAGTTTTATTTATAATAAATAAATTTTTGGAGGTATATATTTTCAAATGGGAAAATCTCACGTAAAATTTCTAAAAATAGAATATATGGAAAACAGTATCAAATTTTTTTTTTGTATGGAGAGTAATGCATGTATGTATATGTACATTAAATTAATATATTTTTTTTCCTTTTTTCTCTTTCCTTTCCAGCGCGTTGGCTGTGATTTGAAAATCGGTTCAACGAAAAAAATCGACAGTTGTGGCGTCTGTGGTGGCGACAGCAGCACCTGTTCGCAGCCACTCTACTATTGGGAGTCAGCACCAACAAGCCAGTGTTCAGTTACTTGTGGTGGAGGTAAGTGTAAATGTTGTCATGCCAATAAAATCAAAAACTCTTACGTAGCTATGCACACATAAACACCTGCGTCAGCGGAAACTTTTTGTTGCACATACATATATGTCTGTATACATATCAATCACATTCACAAACCCAATCACAAATAATACAGCCCCTTGAAATAACAGACCCAACCACAGTCGCTTTTGTGTCAAAGAGATGATGTTTAACAAAATAGCGTAAATAAACAGACCAACAAATTTGAATGTGCCACAATATTGCGATATTGTAGCAAAGGCGCGAGTTGGCGCGACGGAAAACAGCAGGCAGGTGACGCAGCAGCAGGGCAAATTTAGTGTTCGAAGCCTGGCGAAGGTGATCGCTATTTTCGGCTGCCTTTGCCAATTTTGCTTTGTTGTTTACAATGATGGCGCAAATACTGGCATCGTCATGTCTCCCCTTGCGCTTCGCATGGAAATTCTTCATACATATACATATACATAACGCTTGACAAAATCGTGACATTACAAATGGCACTCCAGGTGACACGCTTAGCTTACTCCTGCTTGCTTAGCTCGCAACTCTTCGGCTGCTCCTGTCGATTCATGACTTGCGTGCCGCAGTTCACTTTGTAATCAGTACGATTTGCTACTCCACACACCACCACCACCACCACCACCACCACCACCACCTGCTTGCCTGCCTGCCAACCAAACATCGCTGATAAAAGTTCGAATGCAAATTTCGCATGTCAAATTCATTTCGTGTTTCCTTGCCAAGTGTGTAGGCGAACCCACCTGTCATGTCGCGCCATTTACTCCTCCCGCCGGATGAATACATTTCACTTGCTTAACTGCACAAAACTTATGACACCGCTTCACTTTGTTTTGAGTAACAAATCGCTGTGAAATTTCAAGTACGCGTTCACTCAACTTCTATGCAGGTATCGGTGGAAGATGGAAGGCGCCATCATCAGCAAATGCGCGCTGTCGTATACTTAGTAGGCGTACTAAGCTGCTGGTAAGATTGCTGCTTGATATGGTGGATTTTATGGCGCGTAGAGAGTGTGTGTTTTGGGAGTGGAGAAAAGGGAAGTGGGCTGTGCGGTTTTGTTTGAAATACATATATCACGTAAATCTATTTTGACTGCGATCTCAATCGCTGTATTGACTATGTATTTGCTTTGTAATTGAGTGGAAGCGACTGAATGACAATTGGAGTATCAAATAATCTTATCACGTGGGCGATTTCGTTGAAAAATTGGGCACTAGGATTTCATCGGTGAATCGTGATTCTAAATGAGAACAAAGATTTAAACAAGCGAATTTATTTCAAAAAAATCCACTGCTATCTTATAAAGCCACATCTAAAATAAAATACTCGTGCATTTAAATATTGTATTTCCGTATCCGAGTGTTTAAAAGTGCACTACCAAGTTGAGGTTCCTCCATTTCTACCAATACAAAAAGGTACTTTAAAGCGGTCGCTCTTCAGCTGACAATGACAAGCTTCCGAGTGTATTTCTGCCATGAAAAAAAAAAAACCATCTTACGAGGCGGCATAAAGCTGTAGGTCACTTCATTAGTGTTATGACACCAATAATTGGAGGAGCAGCTCAGCCAGACACTTAGCAGATATGTGATGGCCAAATATTATGGATTCCTACATTTTATGTGACCACACCAAGATAAAGAAATACCGTTCTAGTCGATTTCGATAAAGCATCGAAAAAAGTCTCTGTGTATTTCTAAAGCCACATTAAATAGTCTAAGATCCGGATTTAATCTATTTTGTGTCAAATTTAAAGTGTTAGCAAATATTTCGCGAGCGAATTGGATGAAAAAGTCCTGTCCAGGATATTTTTAATTAAATATTCAAAAGTTGTTATTTTTTTTTTAGTTTTGCACTCATTTGTTTAATGAACAAATTATATGCCAATCGAAAGTATTAAGCCGATAGAATGTGAAAACATTGATTTAAAATAGATTAAATTCATTAAACAGTTGGGTGAAGGTCGTGCCCTATTTAGATCTTCTACTAAAATCAGCACCAATAAATTTACGGACAGTGCTGTATTGATATCAATAAACTTACCGATAATAGAGCGATAAAGTTATCGACAAATACAAACATAAGAGCTTTCGATAAATATATTACCAAACTATCGATAAACTTATCGATGTATAGTTAAAATCGGCAAAACTAACGAAAACGAGTAGATATTGGTGTGCATCTTTTTAAAGGCATTTTTTCTGAATTACGCATCGAACAATTTATCAGCGTTTTCATCGATACATATCAAGTTCTAACTGTCACAAAAACGTGAACGACAGTTTTTTCAAAATTGTCTTTTTTTATGCAGATATTTTCCTAGAGCATCTATGTAGATGCATTTCTGCATCAAAAAAAATAAATTTTTTTTAAATATCGCTTACATCTTTTTGACGATTAGGGCTCGATATGATCATCAATTATTATAGCTTATAGATACCGTTATCGAAAATTTTTTATACCGATATATATATATATACTTATGATTGGGCCGTATGAACCATAGCTACGGTGACCATATTAACCAACGTAAAATAAAGCACATTTTTTTTCAAAATGATTTGGAGTACGTACATACAACTTGTATGATAAAAGTACCTTACCCATATCGTAATTTAAATCAAATATTTACCAGTTAATAATATTATATAATTGCACAAGTTTCCCTGCTGTAGCGAAAAATTAAGCCAAATCTTTTTCAAGGACCTCGCCATCCTTTCATTCCAAAATTCGTTTACCATAATACATACTGCACGAAGCCAGCACACAGTGGTTCAAAATTGGATTTTATTATTCATAATCCACCGGAGCCTTCATTTCTCAACCAATTTTTACTAAAAACGAAAAAAAAATATATATATTTTGGTGAACATTTTTTTTATAACATTTCAAATTTTTTTTGTTTATTTTGTTTTGGGAGAACCATACCATTGCTTTCAACTAGTTTTTGTTATGTAACATTTATTAACTGAAACAGGAGAATAAATTTTTTCAAAATTCCTACTTTTTCTGCATTTTGCACTAAAAAATTGAATAAAATCAAATAAAAATTCAGAAATGAGACTCAATTGGGCTCTTGCAAATATTATAATCTTACATAAAAAAAATAAAAATTAATCAAATTAAATGAAAAATGAAGGCTCCAGTGAATTACGAACACTAAATGCCTGTTTTGAACCACTGTGCGGCAGGGGGTTTATCTCCGAGCAATTTTATACCAGACAAGGTGACTCCCTTTCATGTGATTTCTTTAATCTGATGTTGAAGAAGGCCGCTGAACTGAACCGCTGAGGCACAATACTTTAAAAGAGTGTGGAATTGCTGGCGTATGACAACGGCATCAACATTATCGGAAGAAACAACGGCTACGTCTGTACTGTCTACTCGGGATTAGATAGAGAAGCAAAGCGAATGGGTCTGGTGGTAAACTTCGACAAAAAGGAGTAACTCCTGTCATCAGAAAAACAGTCAAAGCATAAGCGTCTTGACACCCCGTCAATGTTGACAGTTACATGTTTGAAAGAAGTAGACGATGTCGATTATTTTTGAACCAGCAGTAACACCAATAATAATGTCAGCCTTGGAATCCAACGGAGAACCACTCTTACTATCAAGTGCTACTTTGGACTGAGTAAGAAATTGAGAAGTAAAGTCCGCTCTCGTCGTACAAAAACCACACTCTATAAGTCACTCAGCATGCTTGCTCTGGTGTATGGCGCGGAGGCATGGACAATGAAAACATGTGATGAAGCGGCTCTTGGAGTTTTCGGGAGAAAAATTCTGCGAGAGACTTACGGACGATTTAACGATGAGCTATATGAGCTTTATGTACAACGATATAGACATAAGTATTGTATTGAATTAAAATAGAGCTACGCTGGCTCGGTCATATCGTACGAATGGACAGAAAGCCTCCAATTCTGAAAGTATTTAGCGCGGGTCGCGATGCCAGTAACAGGGGAAGAGGAAGACCTCATAATTGGTGGCGTATAATTGTGATAAGCACTATAGTCTATTATTTTTAGTGTAGCTTCGATCCTTTCAAATTTGTAGGCATGTTCTATATTAGATTGTGTAGTTGTATTCTTAAGCTTATGAGCGGCGAACGAACATTTCTTTACCAAACTGAAATGGATTAGGCTTTGAGATGTTTTTCAAACCCCGTAGTAGTTAATTAGCCTACTGTATGGCTACGGCCTAGGGAAATGGAAGAATATAGTGTTGGTGACAGCTATAAAGTTACAAGCCTTTAATTACCACTACACATGGTTAAAAAAAAAAAAACTTTCCTACACGATTATCCACAACTAGCGCTTCAAATAAAAAATACTAATCTTTCAAATAAATTATTCAAATATCCTTTCTAGCGTTCTAATTTTTATTGACATTCAAAGCATTTGGAAATAATTATAATAAATTACTGGCTAGATGATAATTGTCACAAACGTCATTAAACACAAATTTATATATCAAGATATTATAAGTATGTGCTTGCACAAATATTTATAAACGCGTATGCATCAATTAATGAGAAAATTGACAGGCTGTCCAAAACATTAACAACAGTTTGCCATTTACTTTATTAGATTTTGAGTACATAGTATAGGGACAGCAACTGTTAATCGATTGTAAGTTGTCTGTAATTGTTTTTCACCACACAAAATCAATCATTTCCCCTGCCAAGGCATTACATATACATACATACTAGTATGTTGATAAATCTCTTGTGATGGAACTTCTTGTTACTTGGTTTTGTTTTAATTTCCATTTTCGATTTCTTGAAAATTAAAAAAACTACTTTTTGATATTTATGTACATTGTTTTCAATATTGTTTCTAGCAGCAATATATTACAAAAATAAGTTACTTGGTTCTCTGCTTTCACAGGAGAAATGTGATTATAGGTTGCTCATACGCCACCGGCTACGGGCAATGGGCTACTAACTTACTTATGCAGCTGTTGTGGGC